GGAGGAAGATCGGGTGGGTGATGGTGACATGGGGCGTTTCCTGCATCTCAGGGGCTGAGGAAGCTGAATTTCATTCTGAAGCCAGAAGGAAATAAGAGATAGAGCTTGGATAGCCACAGCCAGGAGTTTGCTGCCTTGTCTGGAAACTCTGACACTGGCTAAATGTTGGCCAAATGGTCTCCCTTTCTTCCTGGTCATAGACAGGACACATGTCCCCACTGCCCTCCAGTGACACAATGCCAGGGTTGAGTTCGGGCCAATGGGCTATGAGCCACGTCCCTGCCCATGGATGGCTCTACCCTCTAGTCCCCCTGCATTGGCTCAGTGAGGAGTGAGCAGCACAAAAACCCAGACTGCAGCCACAGAGGGAAGCTCCCTCGGTCTCTGAATGACTGTGTGGAGTCATGGGCACAGGACTGTGACCTGAAGAGAAGAGGAAACTAGAAATGCAGGCTTATCGTGTTGAGCTGCAGAGGCGGTGGCTGCTTGTTAAGCAGTTAGCCTCCTTGAGCGCCGAGCAGGTAAGGCTGGAGACTGCAGGGAAGCCACTGCTCACTGCTGAATGGTACCGCTGGGAGTGATGTGGGGGACCAGAAACCTGTGCCTTTAATGAGCTTTCTCTGAGTCACTGTGGGCAAACTTTTGGCTCACGAAGGCTCTGGGCCCCAGGTAGTAAGCCTTTGTGGGACTGCCTGTGCCTCCGAGGCGGAAAGGTAAGCGTTCCTGGGGAAGGAAGACGCACATCGGTAATGAGACAGTGCCACCTGTAATTTCTAAGACCCTACGCTGATACCTGCCGTAGCTGAAGCCATTATGATGTGCATTTCCTGTGGCCTCTTTTCTCTTCTACTCGGGAACTTTTCTTGCTTTTTAAAATATGGAATGTCATCCTTTTGTAACAGCTTCTAAGCCCAAGGGAATGACAATAGTTCTCCAACTGCAAAACGGAGCTCTAATTTTCTAAAGGACTAGTTCCCCCACGGCGCACATGTATATATAACCTATTTATATAAAAAGGTGTCTGAAAAGTCAGTTTTGGAAAAAAAGTTATTTCTTTCATGAAAAGGGAGGCAGAGGGAGAGAGAAATGGGCCCCCCATGCTGTGAGCCTGTCCCCAGCCTCGGTCAGCCAGGATCATAGGTTCGCCCTTGCACCCAGAGTGTCCGGGGAGACCTGGGATGTCAGCCTGAGTGCTGTGTTACTGCTGCATCATTGCAGTTGGCCCTGAAAGGGTAGTTTTGTGATATTTAATTAATTATTTTATTCCACTGTCACACTGATGGACAACGGCGTGGGTGGGGCTGCTCTTCATGGACGACAGCCAGTTTAACTGAATTCAGTTTCATAAATCCCCAAAACAGTTTAGATAGAAAAATCTCTCTTCAGAATATGACGGAATTCATGCTTCTCAGCTAATTGTTTCAGATCATGGGCCCCTAGCCCCTTTGTCTGTCGAAATCTTAAAAGATCGGAACCTCAAACTGAATCTGGTTTTACTCCATTTTTCTGTAGCGCTTTGATCCCCTCTCTTGGAATTTATCAATAGTTTCATTCTCTTTCATTTTCTTTAGGCTTCAGACACCGAACGGTGACATCAGGGGGGACGCCACGTGCACACCTTTCCTAGACTTTCTGTGAAGCAGCCCCTGTCCCCTGGGGGTACAGGAAAAGGCCAGCTGGCAGATATGCCAGGGTGATGTCCTGGCTAAGTCAAAGGACAAGCAATAGGTGTGCGATGAACCCCTTTTATAAACTAAGAACTCAAATGGGTACATCAATATTCGTTCTCACTTCTAGTATTTCGTTCTTAGGAGGACAGCCACCTCCTCTCTGCCACCGCAATGACCCGGTAAACTGCAGAAAACCTAGATTATATTGTGCTGGTGCCGAAGCATACGAAGACGTTCTCTGAAGTGTAGGTCCATTTCACAGACTCTGGAATGAGCTGGGAAATCAGAACAGGGGATAGAGGTGCATCACAGCCTTCTAATAAGACTGACCCTTTGACAAACATTATCTTTAAAGTCCACCGTGCATTCTGGACTTTAAAGAAACTTACTCAAACCACAGTAACAGACCATTCCAGGGGTTAGATGCACTTGGGTGAAGTGAAAACCCCAGAGGCAGCTCTTTCCAGCAGCTCCAGACGCTACCACCGTTTGCTACTCGGGGTGTCCTCGCAACTCACATGGACGCTGTGTAGGGCAGAGCACCGCAGAAGAATCCGCTCTACAGAGCCATTGGTTATGAATAAAAGAGAAAGGAAGAACTAGGGGTGCAGACTACATTTTTAGTTTTTGGAGATCCATGCTCCGATTTTGGACAACCATGAGCGTGGAAGAGAATTTGCCATCCCATAGTAAGTAGAAATATGATTGCTTTCATAGTCACTATACTGACTTTTATGTGTCCCTAAAAACAACTTGACAATGTAGTAACATTACACCGAATAAACATTTACTGGGAAGAGGCCCACCCAGCTAATTTAAGAATTTTTAAATGTAAAGTTTCCTGATCAGAATGAAAATAGAAATTCACTCCACTAACTTTTGATCAAAGAAATAAAAGTGGGGTGAGGGCAATTGAAATTCGGAGTGATGGGGGGTTGTGAATGTTACTGAGCCGTAACTCGGTGTCGGTGTCGCTGGTTGCAGTATGAGGTGAGTTTGATGTCCAGCCGAGAAGACAGAAATAGGGTTTTGACTGAAGCTTATTCATCCTTCTACACTCTGGAATTTAGATTATACTTTTTGTCCGAGTTGTGTAATGTTTATATGTGAAGTCCACTCACAAATCTAAGATTTTAATTGGTTGTTGCTTTTATTGAGTAGATTTATATAAGCATAATTCTATTAAATTGGATACCACTATTTAAGAATGCCAATGATATATTTTTCCGCCCTGGAAAATATATTTTAAATCATTTTAACTCACTATAAACATTTCGATAGTAGTTCTTAGAGACCTCTCATAAATAATTTTCCAAGAAAGCAGTAAGACTGGGCTATGTTTGAACATGAGGTAATAATTCATACCAATTATATTCCTCAATCCAAGGCTGTAGACCCAATAAGATGCCATAACTCATACCTTACGGTCTGATGGCAATTAAAACGCCGTCATTAAATATTTTGCAAACAAACATAATTGCTGAGATCGTGCCTGTGTGGACTAACAGTCACTGCTTTATTTCTCGACAGTGGAGTAGCCAGCTGCGTCATTCGGAGAGCACCTGCACGTCAACGGGACACCGTCTCACACTGTATAGCCACGACCACTGCGACTCCCCGGGGCTGGGCATGCGTGGGGGTCTCTGCTGCATTTCCTGTCATGCGCGTAGACCAGGTGCCATGGGATGGGCTTAGAGCAGCGAGTGACCCAGACCTGGTCTTTCTCCACAGTGGGGAAAAGAGACTACACACAAAAGGCCTCACTCGCTGACTGAGGAGACTGTGGTCAACACTCGGCAAGGGGCCTGGCTTCCAGCTCTGAAGGTCAAAACACCCGAAATGAAGCGGAGGGTTAAATAGTGAATGTGTCATGGTGCTGTCAGCAGCCCTGTGACCAGACAGCCTGACAGGACAGCTTGGGCCACACCTGTCCTGGGACCCCGGCATGGTGTTAATTCTCCGCACGACAGTCTTGCAACATAATGCCACACAGTTATGTTCTCACGAAAAGTCACCTAATTTAAAGTTTGGTTTTGTTTTGTCTCATTTTCTAAATTTTTGCATAGGGTGCATGAGCTCACTGGAGAGAGACAGACAAGGAAAGTGAGAAGTCACCCCTCAGGAAGGATGGCCATGCCACAGTATCTTCTCCTCCATTCTCCTCTAAGGGTTTTAGGGCACATGTGCATGTGCCTGGTGTGTTTTTCAGACCACTGGGTCCAGGACTCAAACCACATAGTCGGCCATGTGGGATCCAGCCACCTTAATCGCCACACCACTGGCTGGCCCCGATTTAGTTTTAATGATACATTTTGGTATAATGAGCTGAGTACTTCTGTATAATAAAGTCAAATGCCATGGATGTTGGAATCACAAATGTGAGGTCTTACTTGAACTCTGGCCTTCCTTGTCATACAAACATGATGACATCAATGACCTCACAGACATCCACTGTGCTGTAGAGTGAGTCATGCCTTCCGTAAAACCCTATAGTAAAACCCCAATCCAGGGCGATGGAGTTTGAAGGTGGGGCTCAGGGAAGTGACTAGGCTGTGAGAGTGGAAGTTTTACCTTTAAGAAGTCAGGCCAGTGCACTCACTTCTCTTTCTTCTCCCCACCACATGAGGAACAGTCGGAAGAAGATGGGGGACCAGCAGATGGTGTAGTGGTTATGTCACTGGACTCCCACATGGCTGACTGTGGTTTGTGTCTTGGACTGGTGGCTTGAAAATCACACTGGTGCATGTGTGTGCATGTCCAAGATCCCAGGAGGAAAATGGAAGAGAAGGGACTGTGGTGAGGTCGTCCTTCCTCAGGGATGATTTCTCACTTTCTTTCTCACTGTTTCTGTCTCTCTTTCTCTCTGGAAAGCATGTGTGCCCATGGCAAAAATTTTAAAACAAACAAACAAGAAGATTTCTGTCTGCAGACTCAGAGGCTGGTCCTCAGCAGACACCAGGTTACAGGAGCCCTGAACTTGGACTTCCTGGCCTCCAGAACTGTAACAATAAATGGGAGTTGATTAAGTCCCCACCTATAGAAATGGGTCATGGCAGCCCAACTGAAGCCTTAGGCTCTAGGATGACATGTGCCATGCATTGAGCACAGACACAGCAAGTCTCAGGGCACATCTGAGTCCAACTCCCACAGGTACATGGCTCAAAAAAGCTCATTCTTCCCCTGTTCTTAATATGTACTGCACATATCTGTGGCGGGGGATGCAATTCAAACTTCTAATTCAACCAGCATTATTAAGTGCCTACAATGGGTGAGGTGTGGCCCAGGAAGCCACAGATCAATGGAAAGTTGACTTTTCCTGCTGGCCTTCTTGCTGGGCTTTGGAAGTCAGGAAATGAGAGAGACTGGAGGGCAATAGGCAGGGAGGGGGCCTTTATTGTTGTCAAGTTGGATCTGTGACTGTTGATGGTGTCAGCCACTGTGTAGTAACCAGGCGTTTTTAATTTCTGTATGTGATGCTTTGACATCTAGGGTCCTGCTGGCCAGAGGGACTGTCCTTCCCCGGATTGGCCTGTTCTAACACACAGTAAATGACTCGTCCTCCAACCAGCCAGAGCATACCCCAACCATCTCTTCTACCAGCTCTCAGAAGGCCTCATTCCAGGCCACTGCCCACCTGTCCTGATCACCACAGGGGCCCGGCACCAGCAGCACCCCAGATGCACTGACATGGCCCACACTGGCCAGCTCTAGCCCGATACGCTGTCTCAGCACTCCTTCCTGTGCTTCAGCTCACCAGTTCCCTCCTTCCCTCTGCTTTCTGTTGGCCCTGGTGCTTCCCCGGGTGGCCTTCCCATGGTGTGGGGTGTCCAATTCTCTTGGGATCTTCCACAAACCATCTTTTGCATGGTAGTCGCCTCCCAATTTGTCACTCTCACCATACCTGAATAATCACGAAACTTGTATTTTAAAACTTGCCCGTAGAGTCTGAGGCTTGCCAAGTGCTGTGAAGAGTATCTTCTCCTTTACAAGAGGGTGAGCGAGCTCTCCTCATTGTCCCTAGTCACCTGATCAGAAAACACAGTGTTCGTGGAAGACGACGACAGTAACAGTAACAATGACAACACATAAATGAAACGATAGAAGGCAGTTGCACCTTTTATTGGCACGGTCACGTTTCAAAGGTGGGCACGAGTGGAGAGTTCCAAGTAGCAGGACACAGTGGCCTCCAGCTACTGGGCAGAACTCCCCGACAGCCGGTGGGAGCACAGCAATGGACAGGCCGTTGCGTTACAGCAAGGGTGAGGCTATACAGTGGGAGGGTCATGCAGCGGAACTCCAGGGACGTCTCGCAATGCAGCCAATCTCAGCATACTTATTTGTACTGTTCAGACCTTTGCATGAATGTGGCTCTTGGATGCCACCAGCTATGAGCGTGAAGCCATACATGTTTAGCCGAGTGCCGTGTCGTTTTCTGGAACTAAGCTGAAGTCGGGGGATGGAACTGAACTACAAGGCGCACGATCCACCTATCGAGAAACACAGAGCCTGGGAAAGAACCGCCTTCTAATCGGGAGTGACGTCTAAAACGTGGGGCTCAACCTGTACTCTTGCAAGGCCTGGGAAAGAACCGCCTTCTAATCGGGAGTGACGTCTAAAACGTGGGGTTCAATCTGTACTCTTGCAAGCGCTGGCGCTGGCGAAGCTAAAGCAACAACATGGTCTCGAGAGTTTTAGGTACTTTAGGTTAAAAAAAAGGTGTGTGGAAGAAAAAAACCTAGAAATAATTTTCTAAAATCTGTATTTTGAAGAAGAAAAGCACCACCAATTGCAAAAAGTTACAAAATACAGTAATAAACATGTAAATAATTATCGTGTGTTTATAACTCCAGTAAAACACAAACACCTACAAAGAAGTAAAATATGTGTCCCATAGAGTGTATTATATTAAAAATATCGGAATAACAGGAAATGAACCATTGATCCATATGAGAACAACTGTACAGAGTGTGCTTGGGTCACTCCTATCCCCACTCCTCTCTCCCCTCTCGGGCCCCATCTACACTTTTCCCAGCTTTCCCCTGCTACCTCGAAGTAGCACAACCCTATACATGTGGAACCTGGAACTCAGAATGTACCACCACAAAATGGATAAGAAAGAACACACACACACACGCATACACACACAGGAACTCTCGTGTATTTCGCATCAGTGTCCTGTGCTTTTTTATGTAAATGCATGGGAGAGAAGACCCAGCCTGGATCAGAAGCCAGCCTCCTGTCCACGCAGCCTGCAGTCCTTAGGCAGTTTTGTTTTGTGAGTCTGTGGTTGGGGCCACGTCATATGGTGGTGTCCCAGAGCTCAGAAGGCAGCCGGCTGCAGGAGGCCCCTTCGGGCTTCTTCAGGAGAGTCGGCTTCTTGCATGGAGGAGGGGGAGGCGCCCTGGGCTCTGCCTGGTGCAGGATCTGCTGCCAGTCTTCTCTCTCCTCGCAGAGCTTCCGCCTCCAGTCCAGGAGCTCCTGCAGGGCCACGCTTTCATTCTCCGAGAGCTTCAGCTGGTGGATTACCTGCGGAGGAGGAGAGAGGACAGGGAAGTGCTCCGAGTA